TTTTTTTTTTTTTTTTTTAATTTGCCAAAGGGTGTGTATATTTGCGGAGAGAGAAAGAGAGAAAGCATCACCACAGAGATGGTCACACTGCAATCCCTTCTCCGTTTCTCTTTTTGTGATTCTGGGCATGCACGTACATGTACTTAGCATATTTTTCAATCCTCTGAGTCCAGAACTCAAACCACACAGTTGGCCATGTGGGATCCAGCCACCATAACCACCATGCCATCAGCTGGCCTTGTAATTACAATTTTTAACAAACTCGTCTAAAAGTTAATTTTATTTATTTATTTATTCCATGAGAGAGAAGGAGGTGGAGAGAGAGAGTATCTTCACACTGGCCCAGCCTGGATAACATGCACTTATGCACCTGCAAAAGGAGGCCTTTGGGAGGCGAACCTGGGCCCTCCCTGTTGGTCCAGCATCACAGAGTGTTGTATTACCATTGTGCCACCAGTTGGCCCTAGTTATGATTTTTGAAACTGTGAGAAGTCAAACAAAACTAGTGCGAAGATCCTGTTTGTTCCACTAGCAACTAGGCTCAATGTCTGCTTTAAAGTATAATTTGTTTCCAGTAATAATAAATAATAATAAGTATCAGAATTTTAAGTAGGTCAAGTACAAAGAATTGAATTTCCTATTAGGTATTACAGATATAGTCAGAATATGGAATTAATTATGGTATTGAACAAAGTAAGTTGAAAAATAATGTCGGTAATTTAACTGTTAGTATTATATCTATCTATCTATATATATGAAATATAGAGTTGGATCATATTATGGAAAAGTGGGTAGGAAGTGTGAAAGTGAAGTGTCTCACAGTTAGAGGGTATTCCTTGCAAGTTAAATAAGCTCGTTTGGGCTGTGGTAAAAATAGCCCCGAGGCTCAAAAGATTGGACTCCTAAGTCCATGCTCTGTCAGTCATACTCTCTGGGTTTTTTACATCTCTAAGTTTATGTCTGGGATCACGCCACAAGGAGGCATTGTGAAAAATATTGATAAACAACTTGAGGCCTTGAGAACAAAAGTACTATAGAAATAAGAAATTATGTTCTGACTAGTTGCTAATTTGAAAACTAAATATATACCTGTGAAACAGCATGGTTGTTGTTTTAAGTGAGCATGTTTAAAGGAAAGAAACAGAAGAGATTTTGTTAACATTTTATGAAAGTATAGTTGTTATTCTGCTATCTCTTAAGCTTCAAACTATCCGCTCTGTTCCTGTTATGACGTTTATAAAAAAAAACACAACTTCTATTTTCAGTTGGATGGATTTATTGCTCGAAACTGGGCCAATCAAAAATCAGCTTTGGGAAGTGCTCTTGATCCACTTGCTGATAAAATACTTATCAGTATCTTATATATTAGCTTGACCTATGCAGATCTTATTCCAGGTAAGAACGCCGTCATGCGTACTTTTAAATAGCACAGGAAAAATGACATTAGTCCACCTAGGATTTCTCTTGAGAGAGAATTTTTGTTCCAAAGATAAATTTTTCAACTTTAAACTGTTTCCCTAATTTTAAACTATGGACTTTTTTGCTTGTCAAGCTATTTACTTATTGTAGAGTGTATGCCCTTGTTAAACTTGTAGAATCAATTTTCTTTGTAAAGTTGTTTAAAATTGAAATTGAGCAAATATTTCACAATGCCATTTTATAGTACTCTAAAATTTTTGATGCTGTATTATATATTTTTAGTGCCTAGCTTTTGAAAGCAATTTAACATTTTCCCAGGTCTGTTTTCTCTCTTTATTAAATACAGTTTTAATCACATTTGAGAATTCTGAAATCTTAAAGGTGTTTGTAAAATTTTACATTATTATTATTTATACATTATTGTGCAAATTTTAAATCATACATATCGTTTGTACATGATCTGACTACTTTTTCCAACAAAATTTTACTAGCTTTTGCTTTGTATTTTGCATGTGCTTTTCTGGTTGTTCATTTTTCACTACAGCTGTATGTCTCAGTCAGCTTTTATCCCTCAAGTCCAGATTAAACTGTTTTTTTCCAAGACTTAGAAATAGGATCAGAGAACAAAGATGCTACCATGTGGTCCTTTAATATCATGTTGTCATTGACATGTGATGAAAGAAGTGGAGTTGCATTTCAATCTAGTGTAATCTCCTCAAGCTGAAAATTCTTCTTCTCCTTTACCTTTTGTCTTCTAAGGTCTCATACTAAGTTTTTTTTTTCAAAATTGGACTGTACATATATGTATGTATACACACACATTTGTGTGTTTCTATAAAAGTTAAAATCAAGGTAAATGAATGATTAAGGGGTGAGAGAAACAGGTACTCTCATTTTAATAAAAGAAATTTTAGGAGGAAACCTATAGATATTCTGTTGACATTATTCAAAATTCAAATGATCTTTCTTTAAATTGTGTGTATTCTCATAACTCCTATTTTTCAAAATCGTATTGTGTTGCTTATATAAAGGTTGCCCATGTCATTTCCCTGTTCTGCGTAGAAATTGTTTTCAGGTTTTCTCTATTAAGGAGAACATTACTGTGAGCTTTCAATTGATGTGGGTTGTTTTCCAAGCTAGTTTCTATTTTTTGTCTTCTGTGTTGAGTCTGTTATTTTTCCAGGCTCCCGTGTGTTCCTGTAAAGGGATGCAACACGACAGTCAAATTTTGAGAAGTCTTGGACATCTTAAATGTCTTTATTCTACCATCTGTATTTAGTTGACAGTTTAGCTGGACATAATTTTTTTAATTGTAGATTATTCAGAATTTTGAAGAGCTTTTTCCATAGACTTCCAGATTTCATATTACTGGGAGAAGTCTCATGTCATTCTGATACCTTTTCCTTTTTATGTAATTGTGTTTCATATTAGAAGATTTGGAAGATTGTTTACATTATTCCTCTTAAAAATTTCACTTTTCTTAGTTCATTTTCTAACTATTTCTATGGATATCCAGTTATTCCACTACTTTTTATTGAAAAGTATGTATTTCCATACTTACTGCAATGTCCTTATGTATATATTAGTCCATTTCTGGGTAATTTATCTTTTTATTCCTTCTATTGATTTAGCTATCTTGGCACCAGTAACACTTTTTGTTACTGCTTTGTTAAAAGTCTTGATATCTGGTTAAGCAAGTCCTTCCACTTTGTATTGTGTGTGTGTGTGTACACATGCAGTAGAGGTGTATGTACTCACCAGAGAGAGAGATAGATGAGAATTCACCCTCCTCATGGGAAATGGTCACCCTGCAATCTCTTTTTCTCCATCACTCTCTCTCCTTTAGAGATTTTGGGCATGCATACCATATGCTCCTAGCATGATTGTCAAGACACTAGACTGGGACTTGAAATGTGTTGTTGGCCACGTAGGTAGGATCTGGCTGCCTTAACCACCAGGCCATGGAGCTGGTTCCACTTTGGATTTTTTTGTTGTTATTTGCTATAGGGCATGTGTGCTTACAGAGACAGGCAGAGAAAGGCAGAGAGAGGGGAAAAGTGAGAAAACATCCCCTCAGGGAGATGGCTATGCCTCAGTCCCTTCTCCTCTAGTCTCCTCTTGGGATTTTGAGTATGCACACACATATGTCTGGTGAATTTTTTGAGCTGCCAGGTCCAAGGTAAAACCGCACAGTTGGTCATGTGGAATCCATCGCACAGTTAGTCATGTGGAATCCATCTGTCTTTTTTTTTTTTTTTTTTAATTTATTTTAATTTGACCAGAGAGAGAAAGAGAAAGTGAGTAAGCAGACTGCCAGGTCTGGGAATCAAACCATGGTTGGCCATGTGGGAGTCCAGCACCCTTAACCACCATGCCACCTGCCGGCCCCATCTGTCTTAAACTTAAACCACCACACCACTGATGAGCACCGGTAGAGTGTTTTAAGGTACGATTCATTTTTCTTAATTGTTACAGGGTGATTCTGGTTTAATAATCATCTTAAAAATTGTTTATTTTTATTATTATTTTAAAATTTGACTAGAGAGAGACAGAAAGAGAGAGAAGGTGAGAAAGAAAGCTACCAGGTCTGGGACTTGAACTGTGTTCAGCCATCTGGAAATCCAGCTCCTTAACCACTATCACCCTGGCTGGCCCCAGTAGTTCATCTTTGGCCATTTTATAAGTCATAATATTTTTATAGGAATTTGCTTATTTTAACTACTTTATGAAACATTTATGATAAGCTAGTTATAGTATTCTTATTAACTTTTTGATGTTTGTAGCAATTATAGTAATGCCTTCCTTTTCATCTTATTGGTCCCTTGTTTTCTTGATCAGTTTTGTTAGAGGTTTGTCAGTTTTATGTACCTTTTTTTTTTTATTTTTTAATTTTTAAACATGTGTCAGTCTGCATGTGCTCACCAAAGGGAGAGGAAAAAAGCACCCTTCATGAGGCATGGCAACAATGTAATCCCTTCTCCGTTTCTCCCCTTTTTTGGGATTTGGGGCCTTACCGTGCCCACACTTGTCATATTTTTCTAGCCACCAGGTATGGGACTTGAACCACATGGTCAGCCTTGTGGGACCCTTAACCACCAGACCACAGGTTGACCGTTTTCCTTTATATCTTGGAGGATATTTTTGTTGACCATAGAATTTTGGTTTTATTTATTTATCATTTGATTGTCTTTTCACTTCCATTGTTGGAAATAAGAAATCCACTGTTAATCCATTGCTTCTAAGGCAATTTTTCTGCTGTTTTAAGGATTCTCTTTGTCTTTGGTTTTCCAGTTTCACTAATATTTCTTACTATGAGTTTCTTTTTATTTATCCTGTTTGGCATTTGTTGGGCTTTTTAATATCTGAATTAATATGTTCCAGTTCCTACTAGAAAATTGTTAGCCACCGTCTCTTTGCATATTACTGTTGCCTATTCTTTTTTTTGGGGGGGACTTCAAGTATATCTATGTTAATCCTCTAAACCTCAGCCTTTTTTCTTAGCCTTTTTTATTTTTTAAAGTTAAGTTTATCTTTCCAGTCTCTAGTCTAGATACTTACTAACGAGGTTATTTTCTATTTCCCTGATTCTCTCTTCAGTTATACCAAATCCATTTAATTATTTTTTTCCTAAACATGTATTTATATGTCTATTTATTTGTTGTAATTTTCAAGCCACCAGATCTGGAACTTGAACCATGGTCAGCCATGTTCCAGCACCTTAGCCACCACACCACCTGCTGGCCCTGATTCACTTTAACTCTTCCCCAGTTACAGAATTTAACTCTTTGATTCTATTGTATTTTCCCCAGTTACAGAATTTCTATTTCATTCTTATTTAAACTTGCTAAGTTACCTTTTTTAGTTTCAGCTCCATGCTGAAATTTTTGATCTTGGTTTTTATTTTTTTGAGCATAGTAAGCTTAGTTGTTCTACAGACTAATAATTCTAAAAATCTTACATCTTTTAGTGATCGCTTTCATTTGTCTGCTGTTTCTGTTGCTTCTTACTCATGGTATCTTGATTCTTGGTTATTTTATATTATTTAGATATCATGTTAATATTTTTTAAATAATTTGAAGAATGTTTTGATTCCTAGAAAGATGACATTAGTCTCCAGAGAAGATATTTTTTTGTTCAATTCTACCAGGTGCCTAGGAATACTAACAGTCTGGGATCATCGACATCAGATGATAAGACATTCTTGGAAGACCTTATTTACTTTAGGTCATTGCTTCTAGCTCTGTGAGGATAGGTGTTCAGGATCTTAAAGCTAGGAAGTGACGAACCAGAGCCCAACTATGAAGGCTCAGACTCTGACTGCTGTCCGTCAAACTTCATGAGGCTGCAAAGACTAACCATAGCTACTTCCTTAGGATTGGAGATAGTGGCTTTGAGCTTCTGAGATTATTTTTCTGAGTTCTCAATGTTTAACAGGCATTATCCTGACACTTTCTCAGCATCTTGTAAGCTTTTGTTTCAAAGATTTTTTTTTTAAGTCTATTTCATTTGAGAATAAGGAAGCACCTTCAACAGGGTCCCATGCCACATTTCCACACCCTTACTCCTGCCACCACACACATAGTCCTTCCAGCTAGACAGGAATGGAATATGGGCATGTGTGCCCAGCATTTACAGGTTGACTAGAGAGCTGAATCCATGATCTTCCATATGGATCCAGCATCTTTGAGCAGTGCATTACCACTGCATTACTGATCCAGCTCCCGATTTTGAGTGTGTGTATGTATGTAGGTAGAGGATTTTTTTTGCCTTAGGGCGTGTGTGCTTGCAAGGAAGAGACAGAGACAATGTTCTTCAGAGACAGTGTTCTTTGATAGTCTTAGCAGTAAGGTTGTTCTGAATTACATAGTCAAATAATAGCAGAAGATGCATCTGAGCATCTTTTTTTTTTTTTTTTTTGAGAGGTTTTTGCTACAGGGCGCGTGCGCTTGCCAGACTGACAGAGACAGACAGAAAGTGAGAAATCACCCCCCAGGGGGGATGGTCACGCTGCAATCCCTTCTTCTCCATTCTCCTCTTGGGATCTTGGGCACAAACGCACACGCACCCGGCGTGAGTTTTAAGCCACCGGGTCCGGGACGTGAACCGTGGTTGACTACGTGGCAGTCCAGTGACATAGCCATTACACTAACTGCTGGTCCCCCCTGAGCATCTTTTTATTATATTTGTACTTATGAAATTGTACAGTTATATGCTCCAGATTCTACTAGAGTTTACCTCTTTCTTTAATTGTGGTTGGTACTTAGTAGGCATCTTAAACCTGAAAACTCAATTCTTTTTTTTTTTTAATTGCCAAATGGCATATGCATTCCTCAGAGTCCCTTTTCCCTTGGGGCATGGTCATACCACAATCCCTTCTCCTTTATTTCTCCATCCTGTCAGGATTTTCTGCATGCATTCATACACCTGGCATGTTTTCAAGCTGTCAGGGCCAAGACTTGAACTGCAATCAGCCATGTGAGATCCACTCTTTTAATTCCTAGGCTATGTGACTGGCCCATGAAACCTCATTCTTCTGAACATTTTATTACATCTTTGATACTTTTCCACCTCTATTTGTTTGGTTCTCTCTTTCTGGAATTCTTAATTATACTCGAACTTCAAGTGTATTTATTTCTGATGTGAGAGACAGAGAGAATCACTCTTTAACAGGGTCTTTATGCAACAATCCGCCCCTAGCCTCAGCCAGCCAGGATCATGGGTGGGTTTGTGTGTGTGCACCTGGCGTTGTAAGGGAGACCTTGGGATGTGAACCTGAGACCTTCCTAAGTGGCTTCAATTTGCAGAGCATTGCATTGCTGCTGTGCTGCTGAGGTTGCTCATTTTTGTTTCTTTTTATGAGTGTCATCATTCATGATGTCTGTTTATATACTTATTTTTAAGAATTCTTTGTAAAAGTATTGTATTTGTTTCTTCCAAATTCTGTTTCTTTTTTTTTTTTTTTTTTCTGTTTGCGTTAGCTTCTCTTTGATGATGGAGATGTTATTGAAATGGCTGGTGATTCCTTGGCTGCACATTTACATTTGATTGAGGCATGGAAAGTTCAGTGGGAGCTCTCTGGGTATTGGTGAACCTGTTGGATTTATGCTGCTCTCTGGAGTGACCAGGCTGAACTGGGCTGTTGGAGTGCAGGGACCTGAATTCTCTGAGTACCTTTAGGTCTATACAGAGTTCTCTGTCTCCTGCTTGGTGGTTATAGTGACCTTGCCACCAGTGCTTGGGCGCTGAATTGTAGGAGAGGCTGGGGGTCTCCGTGTTATATATGTAGACCTTCACTTAATGCCATTGCACTCCAGTGTCCCTTGTAGATTCAGAGAGTAACGTGTAGTGCGGGGTGGTGGGGTCAGCACATTTATTCTGTACAGGGTAAAATAATAAATAGCGTAGGCTTGGTGTGGGTCATGTGATCACTCTGCTGTGGTAGCATGAGGGTAGCCATAGGAAATATGTGAAGTAATGTGCATGCCTGTGCTCCAATACAGCCTTACTTACGGGCTCTGGAAATTTGAGTTTCATAGAATTTTCATGTGTCACAAAAACCTTTTGTCTTTTATCCGCCCCCCCCAACCTTTTAAAAATGTAAAGACCACTTTTAGCTACAGAGAACTGCAGCCCTGGTGTAGAGACCTACCAGGAAGATGTTAGGAAGGGCCTGGGCAGGGATCTAATATTTAATATTCTTTTAGGAACTTTCTGGGTTTCTTTGGTGCAAGTTGACCTGCATGGCGGCTTCCCTTTCTGAAGGTCTTGGGTTTGGCTCTCCCTGTTCTGTTACTAACAAGCTTAGTCAAAACTTTGAAATTTGTCTCTGCCGCCTTTCCCTTTGTGACTTTATATCCTTTCATTCCTTTACTATCGTTTTAGAGAGTAGGAGATGCATATATGCAGTCTTGCATATCTTACTTATACTGCATTTTTCAAAAGTTACATCTATCTTGCTCTTAATAGTCTTCTTTCTTTAACAGTAAGAAAGTTGCTTTCTTATCTAGAATAATAAGTCATTCAGCTTTTTTTCTTGCTGCTCATTTTATGGGCAGAGGTAGAAGGATAAAAAATTCATTGACATGGTACTATTATAGAGTGTAGAGTGACTAGGTTCATTTCTACCTTTGTACATTTGTTTTCCCATATTCATCAAATAACTACATTTTCCATAATCTTTGTGGTTTACCCTAGGTTAAATTCTCATTTTTAGTTTAAATCAGTTTCTAGAATAATCATTCTGTTAGATTTGTTGTTTTCAGTGCAAAAACCTATTGATGTCAATGTTAGGCATCGTTAGTGATTTGATTTATAAAATATTTCCCTTACTGTTATTAACTTTGTCCACGATGTTCCTCTTTAATGCAGACATTGCCTGTGTTTCAGACAGAGTGGCAAGTAGAGAGAAAAACTTTAGAGCAATCCCTGCTGCATCTCACAGGCAAAGTGAAAGCTGCTTTAGCCCCGAGAGAAGGGGAGACCAGGAGAGAGAGAAAGAGCAGTTAGAAGTTGCAGAAGCCAAGGAGCCAGATAAAATTGCCCAAAGAACCACACTAGAAGCCCAGATGCTGTCACTTGGCCGAGGTCTTCAAGACCACTTGGTACAACCTGGCTGTGTGTACAGACCACCTAGGGAGCTTTCATCCATGCTTTTATGACTCTCCCAAAGTGAATGTTGGATGGGCAAGTCAGTTTTAGGAACCCTTGATCTCCTCAACTTTTTTCATTCAGGCTATCATAGATGGTAAACTGAGTCTAGAGGTGCTAATTGCTAGACCACACTGCTGGGCTGGAGACAAATGTAGTACACCAAGCGTAATCTGAATTCCATAGACCTACATTCCTAATAGCTATACTTTTGCATGCTCTTCTAATATTTCTGTTATACCTGGAGTTTAATTTGCATGGGTTTGCTGCATTTTTAAAAGTGTCATTGTATTAGATTTTGCTAACTAATGATTAGTATAGAAAAGTTTGTTTTACAGGGACAGAAGGCTACTAAAAATCCCATTCACTGTTTTCTTGCTTTTCTGGCTCATCCGGTTCTGTTTTCTCTTTGCTCCAAATACCATGACTTGAATGAATAAGCATTTTCTCATTAGAATAATGTCATGGATGAGGGCAAGGATCAACACTTCCATCCAAACTATGACTAATCAAGACTGAAATTTAAAATCTGTATTTAATTAGTGAGATTTTGTTTAAATTGCAGAGCGAATAGGTCAGAACTGGAGGGAAACATAAGCACAGCTTCAAATCACTTATAAAAGAGTTATTTGAAAGTACTGGGTCATTGGGAAAGTAATGATGCATTTTTGCATAGAAAAACAGGAAAATACATTGTGACTTTTCCCGACAACGTAATATTATAGAAGGAATGTGCATGGTCCTTTTATTTTAGTAATTAAAACAAACTAAATATTTGAACTCAGGATTATTTTCCATTAAAAAACATTTTTTTCTGTATAAAAGAAAGATATGTCCTTATTGTTAAAACTTCTACAGTGCAGGAAGATAAAAAGTGAAGCAAGTTCTCTGCCCTTTCCATTCTCATTGAACAAGGGAGGAGGAGTTCCCTGAGCATCCATCTAAAATACCCTTCTGTTGACTATAGCCCTGGGACCATGCTGCAAAATCTGAGGAATAATGAGAAAACTCTTGACAAGGTGAATTAATTGAATGGGCAGTACAAAAGCTAGCAATTAGTTGGGTAGAAATTGACTGTATGAGAATGAAAATATTTTTGTTTCCTCACAAGTTGTAGATACAACAAAATATTCTCCAGAGAATAATCTAAAATGCAGAAGCAATCAAAGCTCCTGAGATGCCAGTTTCGACCTCATTATCATCTTTCAACCTCTTTATCATCTCTTTCCATACAATGCTAATGAGCATGGAGATTATTTTTTCTGAAATTTAGAAAGCGCAGAAATAACAAAGGAAGAAATAGGGGTACTGGGTACGCTGGCATATCTGTAAATTTGTAGCTTTAAGAAAAAGGCAAAGAAAAAACCTTTAAAACAAAGATCAGCATTCTGAAAGGCAGACATAGACTTGCAGAACCAGGGTTTGTATATCACTTTAAGGGCAGGTTAAAGAATACATATAAAAATCAGTGGGGACGCTGAACAGCCAGTCAGCATTTAGTGTAAGATTTTCACTTAGGGGAAACATCAGGGTATGGTAAGGCAGTTTGAGACTTGATTGTGTTCATTATGGTCAGTGGTCATTTTTCAGAATTCCAATTAAAATTATTTTATATTTGATTTTCAGTTCCACTTACTTACATGATAATTTCAAGAGATGTAATGTTGATTGCTGCTGTTTTTTATGTCAGATATCGAACTCTGCCAACACCGGTGAGTTTGTTTAAAAAAAAAATTCTCATGTTATTACTAATGACTTAAAGTAAAAAAAGAAAGTAAAGATTTACTGTGTTCGCTTTATGGAAATAATTTATGGTAATTATCTTTTGATCCAATTAGCAGGAATTTTAAAAATTACCCACTAAAGTTGTTGTTTAGGGAACACATGACATTTCAGGAAATATGTTTCTGTTTAAAAAAAAAACCCTTTTGAATTAATAGCTCATGAAACCCAGACCAGCTAGCCTCTATCCCTAGCAGCAGACTTTGTTAAAAGTAATTCACATAGATTCAAACTGTGTTGTTGTCTAATTTATCTACTATGGGTTATCTAAAACTGTTTTGTTGTTGTTTTTTTGTTTTAATTTGCTAGAGGGTACATGTGCTTGACAGAGTGAGACAGAGAAGGTGGAATGTGAGAAAACACCCCCCATGGAGGATGGCCACTGCAGTTCCTTTTCCATTTCTCCTTTCGAGATTTTGAGCATGCATGCACACGTACCCAGTGTGTTTTTCAAGCTGCCAGATCTGGGACTTGAACTGCTTGGTCAGCCATGTAGGGTCCAGGCATAACCACCATGCTGCTGGCTGGCCCTAGCACTAGTTTTTTAAATGATGTGAACTTGAGATAGTTCTCTTGAGTATTTGTTCATTGGTTCTGTAATAATTTGCACACCTAAGCATAGTGTAATATCCTCTTTTGGCTCCCAATCCAGTGAAAATAAAGCAATGTTTTGTTTTTTGTTTCATTTTATGTTTTTGCACAGGGCTCATGTGGTTGTCAGAGAGAAACAGAGAGAAAGGGAAAGTGAGCAATCACTCCCCACAGTTCTCTCTCATCCATTCTCTTCTTGGGATTTTGGGCACAGCATGCATACACATATACCTAGTGTAATTTTCAATCTGTTGTGTCTCAGACTAGAACCATGGTCATCCATATGAGAATACAGCACCTTAACTCATGTGCGACCTGCTGGCTCCTCATTTTTATTTTTTTGGTTTTCTTTTCTTTTCTTTTCTTTTTTTGGAGAGGTTTTTGCTATAGGGCGTGTGCGCTTGCCACGGAGACAGAGAGACGGAAAGTGAGAAATCACCCCCCAGGGGGGATGACCACGCCGCAATCCCTTCTCCTCCTTTCTCCTCTCGGGATCTTGGGCACTCACGCACATGCGCCCGGCGTGAGTTTAAGCCACCAGGTCCGGGACTCAAACCGCTACAATGCTAATGAGCATGGAGATTATTTTTTCTGAAATTTAGAAAGCGCAGAAATAACAAAGGAAGAAATAGGGGTACTGGGTACGCTGGCATATCTGTAAATTTGTAGCTTTAAGAAAAAGGCAAAGAAAAAACCTTTAAAACAAAGATCAGCATTCTGAAAGGCAGACATAGACTTGCAGAACCAGGGTTTGTATATCACTTTAAGGGCAGGTTAAAGAATACATATAAAAATCAGTGGGGACGCTGAACAGCCAGTCAGCATTTAGTGTAAGATTTTCACTTAGGGGAAACATCAGGGTATGGTAAGGCAGTTTGAGACTTGATTGTGTTCATTATGGTCAGTGGTCATTTTTCAGAATTCCAATTAAAATTATTTTATATTTGATTTTCAGTTCCACTTACTTACATGATAATTTCAAGAGATGTAATGTTGATTGCTGCTGTTTTTTATGTCAGATATCGAACTCTGCCAACACCGGTGAGTTTGTTTAAAAAAAAAATTCTCATGTTATTACTAATGACTTAAAGTAAAAAAAGAAAGTAAAGATTTACTGTGTTCGCTTTATGGAAATAATTTATGGTAATTATCTTTTGATCCAATTAGCAGGAATTTTAAAAATTACCCACTAAAGTTGTTGTTTAGGGAACACATGACATTTCAGGAAATATGTTTCTGTTTAAAAAAAAAACCCTTTTGAATTAATAGCTCATGAAACCCAGACCAGCTAGCCTCTATCCCTAGCAGCAGACTTTGTTAAAAGTAATTCACATAGATTCAAACTGTGTTGTTGTCTAATTTATCTACTATGGGTTATCTAAAACTGTTTTGTTGTTGTTTTTTTGTTTTAATTTGCTAGAGGGTACATGTGCTTGACAGAGTGAGACAGAGAAGGTGGAATGTGAGAAAACACCCCCCATGGAGGATGGCCACTGCAGTTCCTTTTCCATTTCTCCTTTCGAGATTTTGAGCATGCATGCACACGTACCCAGTGTGTTTTTCAAGCTGCCAGATCTGGGACTTGAACTGCTTGGTCAGCCATGTAGGGTCCAGGCATAACCACCATGCTGCTGGCTGGCCCTAGCACTAGTTTTTTAAATGATGTGAACTTGAGATAGTTCTCTTGAGTATTTGTTCATTGGTTCTGTAATAATTTGCACACCTAAGCATAGTGTAATATCCTCTTTTGGCTCCCAATCCAGTGAAAATAAAGCAATGTTTTGTTTTTTGTTTCATTTTATGTTTTTGCACAGGGCTCATGTGGTTGTCAGAGAGAAACAGAGAGAAAGGGAAAGTGAGCAATCACTCCCCACAGTTCTCTCTCATCCATTCTCTTCTTGGGATTTTGGGCACAGCATGCATACACATATACCTAGTGTAATTTTCAATCTGTTGTGTCTCAGACTAGAACCATGGTCATCCATATGAGAATACAGCACCTTAACTCATGTGCGACCTGCTGGCTCCTCATTTTTATTTTTTTGGTTTTCTTTTCTTTTCTTTTCTTTTTTTGGAGAGGTTTTTGCTATAGGGCGTGTGCGCTTGCCACGGAGACAGAGAGACGGAAAGTGAGAAATCACCCCCCAGGGGGGATGACCACGCCGCAATCCCTTCTCCTCCTTTCTCCTCTCGGGATCTTGGGCACTCACGCACATGCGCCCGGCGTGAGTTTAAGCCACCAGGTCCGGGACTCAAACCGCAGTTGACTACATGGGAGTCCAGCGACATAGCCATTACGCTAACTGCTGGTCCCCCTTATTTTGTTTTTGAATCTATTTAAAGAAAATCATAACAAGGGATTTTTTTTTCTTTTTTTGGAGAGGTTTTTGCTATAAGGCGCGTGCATTCTCCAGAAAGACAGAGAGAGATAGAGAGACAGAAAGCGAGAAATCACCCCCCAGGGGGGCTGACCACGCCGTAATCCCTTCTCCATTCTCCTCTCAGGATCTTGGGCACGCACGCACACGCGCCCAGCATGAGTTTTTTAAGCCACTGGGTCCAGGACTCGAACCGTGGTCGACTACATGGGACTCCAGCGACATAGCCATTACGCTAACTGCTGGTCCCTTAATGAGTTTCTTTAGTAAACATGCTATCAGGCAAACTTTATGATGGCTGTTGTGTTAGAATTTTATAGGAATTGAAAAATGAATGCAATTTTTTTTTTTTTTTTTTGCTATAGGGTGCGTGCACTCACCAGAGAGAGACAGAGAGACAGAAATGAGAAATCACCTCCCAGGGGGGATGGCCACGCTGCATTCCCTTCTCCTCCATTCTCTTCTTGGGATCTTGGGCACGCACGCACACGTGCCCAGCATGAGTTTAAGCCACCGGGTCCAGGACGCGAACCACAGTTGACTACGTGGGAGTTCAGCGACATAGCCATTATGCTAACTGCTGGTCCCCCGAAAAATGCATAAAATTTTAAAATAGCTGCTATGATTAATAAAGAATGTAGATACTACTCAGTCAGCATAATAAAGAAGATGCTTGTCTAGCGGGGCCAGGCATGTGTTAAGCACTCAGTAACTGTTGCCAACATGATTGCTTTAAAGTTGAATAATAAACTGAATACTTTATCTTGGTTTGGTTCTCTTCCAGCGGACACTTGCTAAATATTTCAATCCTTGCTATGCTACTGCTAGGTTAAAACCAACATTCATCAGCAAGGTAAGAGACATGTAGCTTCTTTTCAAGTTGTTCCTGTGTGAATTTCTGTTTTAATGGGTATAAACCTCAAGAAAGAGCAGGTGAAAATGAGACAAAGCTAAATGCGTTGACTAGAGGGGATAGAGAGTGGGGTCAGGCAGACAGCTTTAACCCAACCATTTTGTCCTCCCTACTTTGTTAAATTGTTAGTATATGCGTTGTGTCTTGTGTTGTGGTCTAAGGACTTAAACCTCTGAATGCGTTTATCACTAGGACCACTATTTAGGGAAGGTAAAGGGAGTTGAAATGTGACTGATTCTTGATGGAGATCTAGGGAGGTTATGAGAGGTCCTTATATCACTACCTACCTCCCTGGTGGTGAAAACAGAATACAGTATAGTCCTTTCATTTTCAGGATTCATTGCTAAGTGAAAAAGGGTAGGAGAAAATTTTATTCACTTGTGAACTACCGCTCCTGGCTGTCCACTCTGCTTTCTTTTTTTTTTTTTTTGAGAGGTTTTTCGCTATAAGGCGCGTGCGCTCGCCAGACAGACAGAGACATAGAGACAAAAAGTGATAAGTCACCCCCCAGGGGGATGGTCACGCTGCAATGCCTTCTCCTCCATTCTCCTCTCGGGATCGTGGGCACGTACGCACACGCGCCTGGCGTGAGTTTTAAGCCACCGGGTCCGGGACTCAAACCGCGGTCAACTACGTGGGAGTCCAGCAACATAGCCATTATGCTAACTGCTGGTTCCCAACCACTCTGCTTTCTTGAGCCCCTTCAAGACAATAAATGTATGCTGATTTTTATGCATAAAAGGGATTGCTATTAAATAATACCTCTCAAGCTGTATTTGTTTTTCTAAAAAGTAGCCTTGATAAGTTTGCTCAAGTCATACTTTCTTTTTTTTTTTAAAGTTTAATTTGCTATAGGGCATGTGCAGAGAGGCGGAGAGAGAGAGGTGGGGGAGTGAGAAAGCACCCCACTCCCCTCGGAGATGGCCACGCTGCAGTCCTTTGTCCTCCATTCTCTTCTGGGGATTTGAGACACTCATGCACACACATACCTGAGTGTTTCTCAAGCTACCACGTCCAGGACTAGAACCATGGACTAGGTCATGTGGGATCCAGCTGTCTCAACTACCATGCCAGTGTTTGGCCCTCAAGTCATCCATTTGTCTCATCCCTGGTAATAGAAATTTAACAATGGTGCCCATCATCCTTGGGACAGAGGGGCGGTTTGCTTTTGTACAAAGTCTCCTGGGAGTAGATTTTCCTCACATACAGAATTTTGTTTGGGCTTCAAGTGATTTATATTTGTATCAACTAAGGCAATTTGAGTAGCACTACATAGTAAGTGACTTAAAGAGTTGCAGGGACAATGCCTCAAACAGGTCCTATTTTTTTTCTTTAAGTTTTTTCTTTATTCATCATGGAGTTGATGCATATGTATGTGAGAGCGAGAGAGAGAGAAGCCTCCTTCACAGGGTCTGGTCACGCTCCTTTCTTCCAGTACTTGAGCTCATCCAATCCTGGGCACTCACGTGCGTGCCTGTTATGTTCCACACCGACTAGACTGGGCCTCGAACTCTGGTCACCACGTGGCCTCCAGCTCCACAGTTTAGCATGCCACCACAGCTGGACCAATTTATTATATATTTTTAAAATGAAGTGGAATCTCTGCTTTCGGGCTGCAGAATGGAAAGTAGAACAGAGGTGGTTCCTACAGGCATCACCTGCTATTTCATACCTGACAGACTTTTCCACAAAATGCTTCTCACAATGAGTGGAGGGAGCCTCTTGTGTATTTCTAGTTTTGTTTTCTTTTCTTCCCAATATTGCCTTTTAGGATAGGGAAACTTACTATCGTCCAGAAAGACCCTCATGGAGATGAGTGGGTTTCTGTTTTCTAATTTCACAAGGTTTAACAGGTGGGCAAGTGAAAGCATTGGATAAGGCTCAGGGAAATCTGGGTTCCAGGTTTGGTTTTCTTGTCTGCCGTAACTGTCAAGTCACCTAACTTACCTTTCCACCTCCAAAGAGATAGCTTAATTATTTCTATATCTACAGGGCTGACAGTTGGGAAAAAGGCAAAGAATTTCGTAACGTTTTTGAATTGAGATGGGAACTCATGGAGCATTATTTTCTGACAGTTGTCACTCCCCTCACTGTAAGGGGCAGCTGTGCACACTGATGGGTCAGCTAGTGAAGTGTCCCCTTCTGTGTGTTCTCGCCTGGGAATGCCAGCTTCTTCAGCAGGGGTATTGTAGGCCAGCATCAAGCATGCTGGGGGTATGTCATGTTGCAGTGTGATGGGCTATGCTTTCGTCTTACTAGCATGAAACAGAAACTTGCTGGCACCTTCATTTATAACTTCCTTTATTTTTAGGTAAACACAGCAGTCCAGTTGATCTTGGTGGCAGCTTCATTGGCAGCTCCGGTTTTCAATTATGCTGACAGCATTTATCTTCAGATGCTATGGTAAGCTAAATGCAGGATTACTCTCTGAGAATGTTCACAGACTGGCTAGAATGACTTCATTCTTGTGGTGGTTATGGAGCACCAACTGGATAAAGCTGTGGCTCTGTTAAGCTCACTATCAAGTATGGAGTATAGAAGTTAGCTTTTGGGGCCAGCAGATAATTTAGTAGTTAAGGTGCTGAACTCCCACATAGGCAACTGTGGTTCGACTCCCAGACCCGGCAGCTTGAAACATGCATTCCCAGAGTGTGTGTGTGTTTTCAAAATCCCAGGAAGAGAATAGAGGAGAAGGGATTGTGGTATGACCATCCCTTACTGGGGGTGATTTCTCACTTTCTCTCTCTCTGTCTCTTGGCAAGTGCAGGTGCCCTATAGCAAAAATCTCTCTTCATAAAGAAAGGTAGCTTTCATGCGAATTAAAAAGGATGGGAGATATTGGTAATGTGTGAAGGTTTCAGAGGAGGGGAAGATACTTCCAGGTAGAAAGAAGAGAGATTTCAGAGAGGAGCAACATTTGAGGCATGTGGTAAATGTGGAGCTTGTGCAGAAAGACCCTATGGGGAGGCCATCAGGTGAAGGACAGACCCACAGTGTGAGGGAGCGCAGAGGGGAAAAGGAGTCCAGCCTAGTGATACAGATGGGCTTACCTGGAGGAAGGAGTCCGAATTTTATTGTATTATGCTGACTGTTGAGTTATTATCTTGCAATTGTGTCAACTTCAAACTTGCACAGTTCAAAATGTGCTATATTGATACTGAAGTCCTATATTTTAGTACACTTTTAACTCTTTTCTTTTCTTTTTTTTTTTCTTTTTTTGGAGAGAGATGTTTTTGCTATAGGGCACATGTACTGGCCAGAAAGACAGAAAGAAATCACCCCCAGGGAAGATAGCCATGTCGCAATCCCTTCTCCTCTATTCTCCTCTTGAAATTTTGGGCCCCCCCACACACACACATGCCCAGCATGAGTTCAAGCCGCTGAGTGCAAACTTGAACTGCAGTTGACTCCAAGGGAGTCCAGCAATGTAACCAGTATGCCATTGCTGATCCCAGTACATTTTAACTTTTTTATTTTTAAGTAAGATTTTTGCTATAGGGTGCATGGGCTTGCCAGAGAGACAGAGAGAAAGCGAGAAATCGCCCCCCAATGGGTTTGGTCATGCTGCAGTCTCTTCTCCATTCTCCTCTTGGGATTTTGGGCACACATACACATACATACATGTGTTTGGTGTGAGTTTCAGGCTGCCAGGTCCAGGACTCAAACCATCATTGTGTGGGAATACAGTGATGTAACCATATTGTTGTCTGCTAGTCCCACACTATTAATTCTTAATTAAAACTTTCTTGCTTAATGGTGTTCGGGCCAGAAAACTTAATCAGAACATGTTAAGCCAAAGTATCTTTTTAAATGATACATAAGTTTTTTTTTTTTTTAAGAATTATTTATTTCATTTCATTTCATTTCATTTCATTTATTTATTTATTTTAATTTGACCAGAGAGAGACAGAGAGGGAAAGTGAGAAAGCAAGCCGCTAGGTCCAGGATTTGAAGTGCAGTTGGCCAAGTCCAGTGCCTTTAACCACCTGTCAGCCCCAGATGATACGTACTTAATTGTAATCTAAAATATACAAGTGTGCATTCATTCTGATTCATTTCTACCTTCTGATAATGGGCAAAGATTTTTTTTTTCTTCTTTGAGTATTGGTCCGTCAAAGGGAATTTTTTCTTTCTCAAAAAAGCTATAGCCATATATTCAACCTCTCTGATTTTTAAAAATTGTATTTTTTGCTTTTTTAAGATGATGAAAGGACTTAAGACATTTTCAAAGCAATGAGTCTAGGGACCATGTAGATGTTTATCCTTTTTCCCCAGTATTTTTAAAATCATCTCGCCTACTTATTTTGGCAGTATTTTCTTTTTTCTTTTCTTTTCTTTTCTTTTTTTTTTTTTTTTTTAATAGTTTTTGTCATAAATATGTTTACTTGCTGGAGAGAGACAGAGAGGGAGAAAGTAAAATATCACCCCCAAGGAGCAGGATAGTCTTGCTGCAGTTCCTTCTCTCCAGTATCCTCTCAGGATTTGGGGCACACATGCACATGCATCTGGCATGATTTTCTTTTCTTTTCTTTTTTTTTTAAAGAAAATTTTGCTATAGGTTGTGTGTGCACGCACCAAAGTAACAGAAAGTGAGAAATCACTCCCCGGGGGATGGCCATGCCACAACCCCTTCTCCTCCAGTCTCTTCTCAGGATTTTGGGCGCGCAACCCACGCTCACAGACACACGCACACACTCGGCGTGAGCTTCAAGCTGCTGAGTCTGGGACTGGAATCATGGCCAACTACATAGGAGTCCAGCAACATAATTACTATGCCGATCCCCCAATGTGATTTTTAAGCCTCCAGGTCTGGGACTTGAACTACAGTTGGCTTTGTGAGAATCTACTGCCTTAACTATCATGCTTGCTGACCTGGCAGTATTTTCTTTTTATTAACTCACCTTTAATGAATCTTTTTAAAGCATCCAGCTTAGTTCTCAGAAACAGCAATTCCTCTTAGATATAAGTTTAATTGGTTTTATGTGTGAATTTAGAATATCAAACCAGCACAGACAGGTTTGAAATCAAACAAAAACGAGGCTTGGCAATTCTCCTTTCCATGGTGGAAGCAGAAGTGCATGTACGCTCAAAAATCATCTGCCAGCTGTGAGCATCCCATGGGCATCACTCATGGCATTTCAGAGGAGGATCTGGTTAATCTGGCAACTCACTGAAAGAAAAGTCAGTTCAAAAGCAGAAATTTATTTAAAATGACTCAGACCAAATATCCTTAGAATTCCGGGAGCTGCAAGAAATAGAACTTAATACCCGAAGCAGTGTGGCACAATGGGAGGAACGCATGGACTTTAAAAATGAAATCAGGCCAGGCTCAAACATTATACCACCTGGCCCATTTTACTTTTTAAATAGATTCTTTTACATATCTCTTCTTATTTCTCTCTCTCTTCTTTTCTTTTTTCCCCCCTTTTTTTTTTTTTTTTTTTTTTAGTAATTATTTATTTAATTCTATTTGTTATTATTATTATGATTATTATTTTTAATTTGACCAGAGAGAAAGAGAAAGGGAAAGTGAGAAAGCAAACCACCAGGTCCAGGACTCAAACTGTCGTCAGCCATGTAGAAGTGTCCAGCGCCTTAACCTGCTGGTCCTCTTTACATATTCGATATGATTCTCATGGCTACTGTTTTTTAGACTGGATAACTGAATTTTCTTTCTTTCCTTCCAGGTGTTTTACAGCCTTCACCACGGCTGCATCAGCTTACAGTTACTATCACTATGGTCGGAAAACTGTTCAGGTGATAAAAGACAGATGAACCTCATCCATCTCCACGAGCAAGGAAGCAATATACATCATCAGCACGGAGCCAGGGAACCTACAGGAGTTCACTGTTTTGGTGTTCAGATTGAAAAAAGGACTTGTCAGAACAAACCATGTCATCAAAATTTAAGTAATGTGCGTTGAAAATAAGCTTGATTGATCATGGGCATATGCCGAATTTCCAATGTATTTTTAAATACAAATAAAACTCTAATTTAGAATTTTTAATCTTAGTTTTCTTCATTAATTTATAAGAGATGAATTACTCTGATAATTGTCAGTCATTTTTTAATATGTTTTTTACAAACATAGTTCAGAGCACAGAAACTGAAGAGCTGACATCTCTCTTTAAATAAAATGTAGACTGTTCACAAAGCACTAGGAGAATTCATGGATTTAAATACATATCCTATACCTCTTGGCTACACATGTTTATTTTTTATTTTTAGATCTGTGTGCACATTAACAGTTCACGTGGTTGATATTTGATCATTTAGTGTAATGAAAATATGTTAGTTTAGCTGTGGATGAAGTCAAGTTGTAAAGAGATTTAAAATGCAGTAAGTTTTGAATATAATAACAAACAACTAGAACATTTTGAAGTTTATATCAGTAGTCTTCCAGCCTCTCAGGTGCCTACTAGTTTATGTAGCAAGGTAACAGAGGCACGGGTGGTTGAAATGTGAGAACGGGCCCTAAAAGGGCCAGTTAGCCTTTGCACCTAAAAGGCAGAGAGTTACATCATGCCTGGCCACTGTGCGTCTGATGTAGTAGTGCGTGTATGATATTGGAACCTGTATGCATAATGGTATGTAAATAATATGAAACTGTATATTTTTCAAAGGATTTTTTAAATTTTGGGGTATTTCCTTTTGTTAAAATGTTAAAGAAATAAAAGAACTGGAAATAAAATTATATCTTCAACTTTGTCCATGTCACTTACTTGATCCTCTGCTGTTGTGTAAGTTTTCTGATCCATCATGTCCATTCAGATACCTCATCTGTACTTACAGTGTAAAAATAATTGGTTTGGGGCTGTCTGAATGAAAACACTTTGTTCTTCCTATCCTATCATGTTTAGGACAGCAGGGAATACAAGGAAGAGGAGCGAGAGACAATGTCTGTGCTCTGTAAAGTGTAGGCCCGTTGCTGCTCACTGTCCCTGGTTTTAACCCAAGAACTGTAAGGAATCATACAGTGTGATTGTCCGATTGCAGCCTATCGAACTGCTAAACTAGAATGGGAAGTTTTAAGGGCCAGCCCATCCTCATAGCCTAATGATTAAGGGAGCCAGATCCCATATGGCCAGCCACTGAAATCCTGGCCCCAGTGGCTCAAAGAACGTGCCTGGTACATGTGAGGACTTACTCAAAATTTCAAGGGGGTGGTAAAATGGAAGAGCAGGGATTGTGGCATGACCACACCTCATTAGGGAGTTCTTCCCTCTCTCCATCTCTTAACTGGCAAGCACATATGCCCTCTGGAAATTAAAAAAGAATAAAATAATGGGAAATTTTAAGTACTGCCTCTTGGTGGTGGCATTCGGCATCCATGAGCCGTTCTGTTGCTTGATGGTCCTGGCTTCCTTGTTCCTAAATTGGCAGCTGAGCCACACTGGGCTTGGGCATACTGAAGCCTGCAGCCAGGGACAGGCTGCTGCATCGGTGGAGGTGATGAGAGGGAACTGCCTGACTGCTCTCCCTCTCAGACCTCCCATACTGTCTCTTAGCTGGGAGGTGGTAAGGCTACAGATGAGTCCTAGGCCTCTCAAGGCACACGGAGGCTTGGCACTAGCACAGTGTGAGACACAAACATGCTTAAAAAGAGGACTTAAGGTAGTTATGGGAAATGTTAGAATTTTGCATTTTGTTATGCTTATTTATAGTTTAGTATTAATGCTAATGGAGTGATTTATTGAGTTGTTATCTGGGTCTGATAAATACACTTTTTCTACCTCAACCCTTAGAGAAATGGTCCAAATCTTTTCAGGTTTTTGGCTGTTGAATTGTTACAAAAATCTTACAGTTTATCAAACATCGGAATTAAATTAGGCATGTTCAAGTGTATATTCATGCACAGACTCAGAATGACTAAAATTCACTTCGGTGTCTGCATAGAATAGACTTGATCTTGATAAGCTGAAAACGGTACTGGGATCCTTTAATTGCATGTCTAAGGACTCTACGCTAACTAGTCATGTTTTTGGCTTTTGCTGGAGAGCGAGAGAGAAAAAATCCCCCGCGGGGGGATGACCATACCACATTCCCTTCTCCATTCTCCTCTCAGGATTTTGGGCACATCTACACATGCACTTGGAATGTTTTTAAGTCACTGGGTCCAGAAATTGAACTGTAGAGTTGGCTGTCTGGGATCCAGTGCCTTAACCACCATGCCACCTGCTGGCTCCTGCCTTGCAATTTTTAAGCAGGAGCTGGTAGAGACCTTGTAAGTCACTTGAGTTCATTTCTCTTGGTTACATTTGTGATGGAACCAGGGATCCACCTTAGAACTTCAAATATCTGTCACTTTAGAACACCGTTCAGTTATTCAGGACAAACCTGGATCTGCTCACTTCTGTAGCATGGTTTTTGTGCTACAGCCATTTTGGAAACAAGATACATGGGATTCAAACTCAATTTTGTCTTATGGTAGAAATAAACACAGTTGTGGGTGAGTTAGGTCCTTCAAAAGGTATGGACCTGTGGCTGTGACCTTATTTGGAAATAGCATCTTTGCAGATGTAATCAAGTTGGGATGAGGTCAAATTGGATTACAACGGGCCTTAATCAATGACTAATGTTCTTATAAGAAAAGGGAAATTTGGAGACAGAATGCCATGAGAGGAAGGCATAAACTGGAGTGGTATCTCCAAGCCAAGGAACACCGAAGGACTGCCATCAACCATCAGAAGCCAGGAGGAGGACTTGGGACAATTCTCCCAGGAGGGACCTGCTCCTCCAGGAGGAATCAACCCTGCTATTAACTTGATTTTAGGTTTTGGCCTGAACTGTAAGAAAAAAAAATCTTTTTTTTTTTTTTTAGAATTATCTAACTTTATTCATTCATTTTAATTTGACCAGAGAGAGACAGAGAAAGGAGAGAGAGAGAGAGAGAAAGTTAGAAAGCAAGCCATCAGGTCCGGGACTCAAACTGTGGTTGGCCACGTGGGAATGTCCAGCACCTTAACTACCACGCTGATCCCCAAATCTCTGTTTCTTAAGGTCTCCCTTCCCCACTTCTGGTCATTTGTTATGGCAGACACAATAAACTAGCAAATGCTAATGTAGACAAAGTCTGGAAACAGTCCCAATTACAATTTAATAGAATTACTTTTTTTCACCAAGTTTGTATAAAAATGAAGTAAACAATACAGTAGACACATCCCACTCTAAGACACACATTAAAGCATTCTTTTTGTTTTCCCTCCCGCTCTCCCGCTCTCCCTTCCTCCTTCCCTCCCGCTCTCCCTTCCTTCATTCTCTGAGAGGAGACAGGCACTGCCAATGGAGTCTTCACACTGCAGTCCCTCCGTAGTGTCTCAGCCAGTCAGGGTCACAGGGTGCACAAACTACACACATGTGAGCCCAGAACCTTCCCACAGGGCCTCAGCATTGCAGAGTGCTGCCTTACTGCTGGGCCACCACAGCCAACCGTGTTAAGTAAGGCATTGTTTGCTGCACTTGGGAGCAAAGAAGTGCTTTGACTTCTAGCTCAAGTGTTGAGGTTCTATTTTGCCTGTTTCTTCTCTTTAATTGAAAAATATTTTTTTTTAAAAAAAAAGGTTTCCTGAAAGCTGATCGTGCTTCCTAAAAAAGGAATTCATAGCTCCTTTGTCCACTTGGGGGCAATGCAGTAAACACAAACTGTTAGAAGGACAGCCTTGGGGCCGGCAGGTGGCGTGGTAGTTAAGGGCACTGGACTCCCACATGGCCGACCATAGTTCGAGTCCTGAACGTGGTGACTTGCTTTCTCACTTTCCCTCTCTCTCTTTCTCTGCCTCTCTCTGATCAAAGTGGAAAATAAAATTCAATAAAATAAACCTTAAAAAAAAAAAAAGACAGCCTTTCCCATGCTTCGCAGATCTTCCCAGAAGACCATGGTTTTAACTAGAAGTATATTTGCTGTATCCCGAAATGCAGCTAATAAACCCAGAAGGCCTCAGGAAACAATCAGTAGCTCTTTCTCTTCTTCCCAGTTCACAGGGTAAGAATTGCTGGAGCTGATTCCGTGAGTACCATGGCTCCCTGTGCCTTAGCCAGAGCCTGACCACGAAGGGTCTTCCACTGAAAAGGGCCCAGGACGTCATTTCCAGCACGGCAGAAGAGGGTGGGTTATGCGATGTCTGTTTTATCTCTTCCTCTTCCTGTACACTATTCTGCACCCTTGAGGACAGACGGCTGAACAACCCAAGTGAAACAATGCATGAGAATGCTCTGTGGCAATAGGGGTGGTCTGGTCTTGACCATCGGGTTTCTGAGAACAGAAAAGTTGGAGGAAGGGAAGGCCCTTGCTCCCGAGACTGAGAAACTCAGTGTTGCAAGCTCCATGAGTACACTTAGAGGCTAGCTGAGTGGACCTGGCCCTTTTTAGACTCTCTTCTGCACTCACAGGTCTACTGGAGGAGTGAAGCTGGGCTACTTGGCAGTCTGGTGCTTTGGCGGATAGTCGAAGGCTGGATTTTGGTAGGCCACCAGGTGCGTGTCATAGCGCTGCTGCCGTGGCCTCCAGCCTCGCCTGCAGAGACACGCTGACAGCACCAGCGTGCAGACCAGCAGCAGGCCACCGGCGGCGCCAAGCCCGGCGAAGATGAGCACGAAGCTGGGCTTGGTGGTGAAGGTAGTGCACCCCCTCGTCCAACTGGAGGCCTGTGGCTGGCTCAGGCCCGCCCTGTTGGCTGCCAGCACGCACACATGGTATGTGGTGCCAGGTGAGAGTTGGTACAGAGGATGCTGCCGGGCTGTGGCATAGATGTCCAGCACCACCGACTGGTTCCCGGGCTGGCCCTCTGCAGAGTAGCGGATCTGGTACCTGTGCACCACCGAGTTGGGGGCGCACCAGTGGACAAGTGCCGACGTGTCTGTTATCTCCGACACTCCCTGCAGCCTGGGAGGGTCTGGAATGATATCTTCTCCGCTGAGGCCTGGACACCCGCATCGCAAGAGCTTCTGCAGCTCTGCACATGGTGTCTGCAGGTGCTTGCAGGGGTGGTAATCACAAGGGACATCCTGGGGAGATTGGGCCACCTCCTCCACGGCTCCCTCCTCCTCATAGTCATCTAACAGGAAGATAGGTATCTCACCTTCGGAAGGACTTGGGTGGGGTGTCTTAGGGGTGGCCTGTGTCCTCTGGTGGGAATGAGGCGAACTCGTGGGAGTCTGTGAGGTCAGGAATGGTCCAGAGTGTTTGCTGACCAATGAGGTGGAGGTAGCTGAGCTATTAGGCTCAACAACAAGCCCAGCAGTGAGTTCTTTCCCGAGCTCTGTCTGGGCTGTGCCGGCAGCCCTGGGTGCAATGCTGGAGTTGTAACCCGCTGTAGAGCTGGTAGCAGAGGGGACAGTCTCCTCCTGAGGCCTGGACACCCGCATCGCAAGAGCTTCTGCAGCTCTGCACATGGTGTCTGCAGGTGCTTGCAGGGGTGGTAATCACAAGGGACATCCTGGGGAGATTGGGCCACCTCCTCCACGGCTCCCTCCTCCTCATAGTCATCTAACAGGAAGATAGGTATCTCACCTTCGGAAGGACTTGGGTGGGGTGTCTTAGGGGTGGCCTGTGTCCTCTGGTGGGAATGAGGCGAACTCGTGGGAGTCTGTGAGGTCAGGAATGGTCCAGAGTGTTTGCTGACCAATGAGGTGGAGGTAGCTGAGCTATTAGGCTCAACAACAAGCCCAGCAGTGAGTTCTTTCCCGAGCTCTGGGCTGTGCCGGCAGCCCTGGGTGCAATGCTGGAGTTGTAACCCGCTGTAGAGCTGGTAGCAGAGGGGACAGTCTCCTCCCTGAAACTGCTGGGCGGCCATGCAGCTGCTGTGAAGGGATCCACAGGGAAGAGAGAGGCTTTGGAGACACTCTGTTGGCTTACCTCAGGCTGAGTAGGAGGGGCTGCACCCCTGTGAGTGGAGGGCCCCTGTGTAGATGGTGTGGAGATAGAGTGGTCAAAGGAGTGTGGGTTTGAAGCCAGGAGCGTGGAGCTTTCCTTGGACTGGCACGCGCTGGGCAGTTCGGCGAGTGCCAGAGGGGCTGAGAAGGGGCTACTGGATCCCACAGCTGGAGTGCACACAGTGTCTGCTGCCCTGGAGGAGGAAGACAACCACTTAGAGGGATCTGGCTTCAGGGATACTTCTGTGCTGGGCTTGAATCCCCCTGCCAAGACTCTGCACATATCACCGATCCCCAGGGCTCCCATCATTATGCTCACTGGGCAGAGAAGGAACCCAAAATTCTGAAAGAGGACCTCACTGTCCAAGAGACCATGGCTAGCAAATGGCAGAGCCTAAATCCAGGCAAGCGTTGTTCTCACCTCTCTACTTCTCAAATTAGTAGTAGTGATAGCATTCATATTCATGCTAGCTAACAGTTCTGAGTGTTTGCCACATGCTGGGGACAGTTCCTCACACTCTGATCTATCAGCTCATTTAATCTGCACTACCTTAGGACGTAAGTATTGCTCCTTTTTCTTTCTTTCTTTTCTTTTTTTGCTATATGGCATGTGTGCTTGCTGGAGAGAGAGACAGAGAGAGGGGGAGAGAGAGGGAAAATGAGGAAACACCCCCCAGGGAGGATGGCTATGCTGCAATCCCCTCTCCATTCTCCCCTTGGGATTTTGGGCATGCACACACATGCGCCTGGTGTGTTTTTCAAGCTGCCAGGTTGAGGACTTGAATCGCATAGTTGGCCATATGGGATCCAGCTGCCTTAACCACCATGCCACCAGCCAGCCTAGTCTTGTCCTCATTTTTCAGAATGTATTGACTGTAAAAAATCTTTGGAGACAATGTATTGGGTGAAAGGCAGGCTTGAGTGGGAGGTAAGAAAATAATCTTATAGGATGGGGTACAGGGTGTCTCCCAAAAAGAAGCAGTTAGCTGGCAGAGCTAATTGGAGAGTGCTCAGAACTAGGGCATCCCCAGCTCTCCAGGATCCATCTTCTTTTGACAGCTAGCCTGGGCGTCACTCTTCAGTGCAATAATAGCTCTTCTGGTCAACAGCCTCCATGAGGATTTTTTTTTTCTTTTTTCCCCATGAGAGTTCTGTAAGCTCACTGTCCTAGAACTGAAAGATCCAGGAGAAAGAGGCCAGGTTGTATCTTGAGGTTCAATGAGGCACAGTGGCTAAGAACACAATTTGGAAGAAGATGGATCCTACCTCCTCCATTTGACAGCGGCATGGTTTTGAGCAAATATCCTACCTCTTTGGGCCCCCATTCCTCTTGTTTATAAAATTGAGCAATGATAACACCTGCTTTGGAGAGACAAGCTAGCTGTTCACTTAATACAGTTCTTTTTCCTACTGAGCATACAGCTGTACTATATTTCCCAGTCTCCCTTGCAGTTAGGCGTGGCCTGTGGACTGACTCCTGGCCAATGAATGGAGGGGAGGTGAGAAGCACCATACCCTGACCAGCTCCTCCATGCTCTTTGCTCATTTGGGCTGGCTTAAATGGGGGCAGTTTCCACCACCAGGATGTCTGGGTGTGAAAGCATCGGGGAGGGCCGCCCTGCCCAACACTACCAAAGTGCCCAGCACAGTCACGTAAACAAGACATAAGCTAGATGAACTTCAGCTGCTGAAGGCTGGCTCTCACCCTCAGCCCTCTGCTTTGTCAATACATTACCTGTGCAGGACAGTTGTCTTTGCATCCTTGAAGAGCCAGGACAACTCACAGCTGCACGTGAGCGGGTTGCCAAAGAGGTAAATGGATAGGGCTTGGGAAGAATCCCGTGTCCAAGGAGGGAAGGAACTCAAATTACAGCTGAAATACACACATATACACAAATCAGTTCAGCTAGGCTTCAACAATCAGGTCAAAAATATTCCCAGAGAGGCACTTAGTGTGATGAAAAAGAAAAAAATCTGTTAGGAGTTAGAGAATACTGCTTTGGGCAAAGCCCTCGATGACCTCAGATTTCATCTTTTTGTCATCTGTAAAGTGGAGATGCCAACCTAATTGATATCGTCCCTCATATCAAGTGAGAACAATACTCAAATGCTCATTGGTTATATCAAAAAGAATCTATGATGCTGAAAGTGTTTATGAAAATAAATCCCAATACAAAAGTAGATATTGCTATTATAGAGCAATGACAAAGGGGCAGAAATTATTATGAAATTTTTTTAGAGAGAGATTTTTTCTAGAAGGTACATGTACTCGCTGGAGAGACATAGAGAGAGAAAGTAAGAAATCACCCCCTAGAAGGGATGACCATGCTACAATCCCTTTTTCTCCATTTTCCTCTTGGAATTTTGGGTGCACATACACATATATGCACCTGGTGTGAGTTTAAAGGTGCCAGGTTCAGGACTCAAACTGTGGTTGACCATGTGAGAGTCCAGCACCCCAAACGCTAGGCCACCTGCTGGCTTCAGGGGCAGAAATTCTTAACGTAAACCCTACAGCACTCAACACCATTTCTTTGGGAGGTGCCTCATTCAGGTGCATCGGTTAGCTCTTGCTAAGTAGAGAATACCCCCAAAGTTTAAAATAATAAATAGTTATATTCTTCCACATAATTCTGTGAGTTGGCTCCGTAGTTCCTGTGGTCTGGACCAGGGAAAGAAGCTGAATCCTGATAGAGAAGGCCTAATATCCTCATCCTGTCTTCTCAGGACAAATTTCTCAGACTGAGTTTAAAAGAAACTTTATAAGAGCTTAAACAAAACAAAACAAAACAAAAGGAAGAAAAGTATAAGAGTGTCAATGTTACTTTGGACTAAACTGAATTGCACAGTTATTTTTATTATTATATTTATTTATTTTATTATTATCATTATTTTATTATTATTTGGAAGGTTTTTGCTATAGGACACACGTGCTCACTGGAGAGACAGAGACAGAGAGACAGAAAGTGAGAAATTATGCCCCAGGTGGGATGGCCACACTGCAATCCCTTCTCCTCCATTCTCCTCTCGAGATTTTAGGCATGCATGCACACATGCCCAGCATGTTTTAAGCCATTGGGTCTGAGACTCGAACTGTGGTCCACTACGTGGGAGCCCAGCAATGTAACCATTACTCCATCTGCTGTGCATGGCTATTGGGTTGGCTGGTCTACCTGGATCCTACCACCCATATCAGCCAAAGGATGAGGAAGATTCGCAAGGGAGGTGAGAGAAAAATGAAGTTCCGGCTTGTTTTATAAAATTTAACATAGCGTATTGGGTAGAAATTGGTCACGGGATTTGGATGTGCTTCAGAAACACTCACTTCTGGAACAGAAGGACCTGCAGCTGAGGCGTGTCTTGAAAGATGCTCGTGTGGACAGAAGTGAGTGCCGAGGAGTCCTGACAGTCCAGCTGCTGCAGGTTTGGGGTCATCTTGAAAATGTCCCCCTCTAGGATGCTCAGCCTGGGCATCTTCCTCAAGTAGAGGGACGTGAGCTTCGGCAGATCTCTGATCCACCTTGACTCAACTGAAACACAGAAAGGACCCTGCCCAGTTAGGCGCACACCCAGGAGACCAGCATGGCATTGAAGAAACAGCAGAGCCAAGGTGAGTCGTCAAGGTCATTGCTGAGCATGGGCACAGTGAGCAGATTTAGACCTCTCAGAAGCAAGGATCGTTTCCGCTGGAAGGACCCTCAGAGATGGCCGGTCCTTCTTTCCAGCCTGAGGCCGGTGAGGTGAGTGATTGATTAACTCAAAGCCACACACACCTGGGAAGGGACAGAGACAGGACTGGAACCCAGCACATGGTCTCCAGATCCACTGTGTCTTACCCTCTTTTAAACATCGCATGAAAACTAGTCAGACTTCACTCTGCTGGCTACCAGGAGCGGGGAAATTTTTGAGGAATGTAAAGAAGTGGAGCCAGGCTGGCAGAAGCCAGAACCTGACTTTGTGGCTCTCCTAATAAATGGAGAATGTGCCCTTTCCCCTCAGTATTTCCTGTTCTCACTGCTCTTTGTTCTCTGTACTGGAATGAGTGGTTATCGACACATTAAGTGTTTTTTGAAAATAATAAAACCAATCTTGTGAATCGAAGTCAGAACCTCAAGTACAGGAGAGCTGCTATCTCCGCCTCACAGAAACAATTTAGCCAGCTAGCAGAAAACTCAATTCATGGGGAGCACCCCTTACTTCCTGGTAACAGTATGTGTGATGCTAAGTTCATTCATTACTCAGCCCCAAAGGGATGCATTCACTTCTCCCTTCTTCAGGCATTCCCCTGGCTGAAGCAGAACAGAGTGGCTGATGTTCTGGGCTCTGGACCCAGAAAGTCTGGCTTGTGATTTATAGGCACCAAGAGCTCAGCGAGCCGTGAGACCTCGGGGAAAACATTCCTGGTTTCTGTGCTTCGCTTTCCTCCTATGTAGCCTGAGATCGTAACAGTTTCCCCCTTTCAGGGCACAGGGAGTTAATTCCTGTGTGGCGCTTCGAACTGGGCAGGGAAATGTTGCTAGCTTTATTTTTTTATTATTTTGAAAAAGGTTTTTGCCTCAGGGTGGGTGCCCTTGAGAGAGAGAGAGACAGAGAGAGAGAGAGAGAGAGAGAGAGAGAGGTCTCACTTCCCAGGGAAAATGGTAGCGGCCGCAATCCCTTCTCCATTCTCCTCCAGGGATCTTGGGCTACCTTTATTTTATAAGCCCTGCTGCGAGCCAAGTGCCGGGTCACCCCTCAAGAAAGAGCACAGCCCTGTCCCCCCAGGAGCGCATGCCCAGCCAGATAACCTGAAACCCCGCGGCGCCAGGACTCACTCCGTTCGAGAAACGTGCCGCTGAGATCCAGGACCTCGAGCGTGGCCAGGGGCGCACCCCCAGCTCCGGTGAACGCCGCCTCGGTGATGTCCTCCTGAGTTCCGCGGCCCAGCGCAGTGGAGGAGAGGTTGAGGAGTTGCAGTGCGGGGAAGCAGGCGAAGGCCCGGGGCTGCAGCTCCTGCAGCGGGTTCCCGGACAGCACCAGCGCGCGGAGGCGGGGCAGCTCGGGTCCCGCGCACCGCGGCAGGGCGGTCAGCCGGTTGTAGCTGAGGTCTAGAGTGTGCAGCCCCGCGGGCCAGCCGGGGCCCCAGCTCAGCGCCGCGATGCGATTGTGGCGCAGCGTCAGTACCTGCAGCTGCGACAGGTGGCGGAGCTCGGGAGGGCTCAGGGCGCGCAGCAGGTTGTGGCTGCCGTCCAGGCTCCGCAGCGCGCGGGGTAGGCAGCTGGGCAGGCGCTCCAGGCTGCGGTTGGTCAGGGTGAGGGCTGTGGTCCCCACGGCCGACAGTCCCTCGCAGGGCGAGTCCGTGGTGTTGCTGTTACAGGCTCCCGAGGGGCCCAGCTGAGTGAGCCGCAACAGCGGGACCCTCTCTTGGGGAGGCTCTGCTTGGGTTGAGCTCAGCAGCGTTGGCGGCAGCAGCAGCAGCAGCAGCAACAGGGTCCCCCACATGGCGTGAGGCTGGAGAGGACAGCGGAAGTGCTCATGAAGTCCAGTGGAAAGTAGTAAAAGGGGGCGACTATGTGCTCTCTTCTCCTCCGCCCCCTTTCCAGGACTCTGAGGAAGAGCACGGGCCCAGATGTTCTGGGCCCAGCTGTTCCTAGCGTTGCCGGCTGTGCCGAAACTGCGCCTGCCTGCTTCCCCACCTCCCCGCGCACAGTGGCACCTCCCGCCCTTCCATCTCTCAGCAACACCCCATTCCCTCTCCTGGCAGGCCTTCCTCATCTGCCCAGTCTGGGCTCGAGTCTCCCGGTAACTCCCTCCGTTTACTTGTCCCCATCCCATAAGCTTCTGCCAGGAAGGGCTGCCCTTTTATGATCATAAACTTCCCAGGTGAACAGTTGCTGCTCTGTAAACTTGCATACCCCCAGTAGAAGAAAAAGCCCTGCTGGGATAAAAGGCCGGGCTCCAGGAAGATTTGTCAGTCAGTCACTGGTGAGTCCTAGTCTGTATATAAGTTCTGGGGTCCCTTTCTTGAGACTGCTGTCAGGTTTGCCTTTAGAAGAAAGGAGTCCCCAGATAACTGTGAAGCTTGAGATCCAGTAGCCAATCATTTCTGGGTGCCATATGTGTTTCAGCCTAACCAGGGTCCCTGTGTTATCCCTGCCCAGGAGGGATGGCTGAGAGCTGCCAAGTGTGGAGTTTCCGGAGCATCCAGGATAATGCAGAGCAGTTGAGAGATCAGGTATGGGTAGATTGCGCGGCCATTGGCCCACTTGGGAATGGCCACCTATGATATTCCCCATTGTTGCAGATACTCATTCCTGCCTGGCTCTCTGTGCTAACCACCAGATCTTTGAGTAACCTCCCTGGCTTCAAGGGAAAGGCCTCCCTCTTGTTAATTAGGAGTTAAGACCATGAGAAAGATCTTAGAAATCTAGGCCAGGAGTCCAGCAAACTGTCATACTCACCCAGAAGCTGTTCTTTTGGAACGTGGCACTCTTAGATGCTCTTTGCTGTCCTCAGTGTTGTTTATAGATTCCAGGACCCAGTGACTTAGCCGGCAGTTCAGCTCTGACCTCTAGCAGATCTGTTTCCCAGCCGCCACTTCTCCTGTTCCCACTACTAAGAGGGCTCAAGATACTCCAGCTTGTACAGGCCCTCCTTCCCTAGACATTGTTGTCTTTAGCCAACACCCTCATGCCTGTTTCTCTCCTCCCTCTCCCGCGCCTGGGCCTGCCCCTTTCTGGCCCTAGCATTCCCTCCCGGTCCTCCATATCTTCACCTCTCCTTACACCACCTTTCCCACCAGGAGAAATGACGGAGTCAGTGAGGACTAATGGGGCGCAAACAGGCAGTCGCAAGGCTTGTCACTGCTCAGGAATCTCACTCTCCCTGGCTGGTGGTTCCCATTTCCTGGGATGGTTGGAGGCTGAACGGTGAGCCTGTGATAGGAGGAAGCCCCTTCTTGGAAAGAGGGAAGGCACCCTGTCTGCAGGAAACCTCATAGAGCGTAATAGGAACAAGTAGCGGGAGAACGAGTCCTCTGAGGACCTGGGAACAAGATTAGGCTCAACACAGAGATGAGAGTCTCTGCGAAGAGCTTGTTTGGTTGCTCTGGGACTCAGTGTAGTGACAGTGTGGGTGTTTGTCTCCCAGAAGTTCTGAGAATAAATAAAGAGGTCAGAAAATTGGAAAGAACATTCTTGTCCCATGTCTGGGGTGATTGGTCCTGATAACCCAAAGCCCCTGGTCTCCCTAAAGGTATGAAGCTGAGTATGCTTTGTTTAGAGGAGACCGCCTTTCTTCCCGAGAGTTCTAAGAGCAGAGAGAGGGGTCATTTCCTCCAAGCACTTTGATCTGTACTCCTCCTCCCCTTGCCCAGGCCCACTGGAAGTCCCAAGAGGCAGCCAGAGTTAATTACCCCAGCTTTCCATGCATGGACCTGAGACCAGAACTTCGCATAACCTTCCTCTTGTCAGTCCTTATCTGGGCAGCCCTGAAGAACCCCAGGGCACCGTGAAAGGGGTCTGTTGGGGTAATAGGATAACTGGAAAACCTTGGGGTCGCCTGTGAGTCCTCTACTCAAAGCCTCAAAAATATCCTTTCGGTCTAGGTGCCAGCCAGGCCGTGCTGCTCAGATGCATTCCTTCATCTGTCCAAGAGGGGAGGAAGAGGCCTATGCTCCCTGGTCTGGGTGAGGAGGTGGCAATGCAGTCATCAACCAGGAATCTCAGGCCCAGGCCACGCCCCAGAGAAGAATCACTGTCATGGACAAGCAGGAGGCCAAGAGGGAGGGAGGAGTTAGGGAAAAGTATCAGCCTGGGGCCAGGCCTTTACTTCTCCCTCTGCAATGTTTGCTGTACACACAGAGCTCCCTACCAGGAAGTGACAGGCCAGGCTTCTTTCACAGTTAAATCAGCCATGTCTACCCCAGGGAGGCAATGGACCATCCCAAGCCAGCAGGAGCTTGGGGAATCTAAGCAGAGCTGTCAGGTAGGAGAGAGCTGAACTCATGGAAATGCACCCTGCTCAAACAGAGCCCTGGAGAAAGGAAGTCGGTTGACCGTGGAGGCCTGCGAGATAGGACTTCAGGGAGCAGTGTTAGGGGGCTCCTTTGTACACTGTAGAAGAGAGGCCCTGGCTGAGGGGCTCTCTGAGGCCATCATCCCATGTTTGCCTGTAGCCCTGGGCCCTCTGAGCCAAATTCTTCCCAACAGGCTTTGCTGGCTAGTTTGCTAATGGCTGCCAGGAAGGCTGACCCTGTGTCTGAGCTTGGCCCTCTGGGTTGCCTGTTGCTCTGATCAGACTCCAGCAGGTGCATGCTTGATGGGTGGCCCAGTCGGGCTTCTGAGCAGGGGAGGCTGATGACAGACTCTGCAGGACAGGTTTGCTTATTGATCTTGTTTGGGCAGGTGTCAGGTCAGCCTTGTCCCAGTGAGCTGTATACTCTGCTTGTTACCACGAACCCCTTCCCTTTTTTAAACATTTGAGCACTTACTCCAGTCAGGGCCTGAGGACATGAGAATGATCTCATCAAATCCTTTCCAGGTACTGACTGTCATTCTCAATGTTACAGGTGAGGAAGCTGAGGCCCACAGAGGAGGTCAGGGTTCTGAAGCACAGAACTAGTAAGCCGTCTGACTTAACAGCACTGTGTAAAATTACCTTCCATAGCCCTGCGTATTTGATGTTGTAATATTCCTCTTAAGCACAAGAGAACCTTCTTCAAATATTTAGATAAACCCAAATCATGCAAGAAGCAGGAACAGTTGGGAAATTTCCTGTCATAGAGGAGCTCATTCTCAAAATACCTGGAGTTGACTCCTTGAGCCTCTGTGGCCGCAGGACAAGTAGAAAGAAGTTGGCTCAGAGGGCCTGGGAAGGAAGTTGACTGGGTGGATCCTGCTGGGCACCTAGGGAGGCCCCAGCCATCTTCTCCAAGCTCACTTCTCTGCCAGCACTTGTTGAAGGTCAGGAAAAGATGGCTGAAGTGTTTGTCCCCGCCAGACTAGGATGCTAAGGTCTTGTGACAAAGTCCTAGGGCCAGGGACCAGCAGTTAGCATAATGGCTATGTCGCTGGACTCCCATGTAGTAGACTGTGGTTCACGTCCTGGACCTGGTGGCTTAAAACTCACCTGGGCGCGTGTGCATGTGCGTGCATGCCCAAGATCCCGAGAGGAGAACAGAGGAGAAGGGATTGCAGCGTGGCCAACCCCCTGGGGAGGGTG